CATTTTGTTCAGACCCTGCGTCTCAAACAGGAGGTCTGGGATAAGCGTTGCCGCTGTTGGGGTTATCTCACCCCAACCGTTGTGATCTCACTGCTTTTCAGGTTTCATAGCGTTTTCGAGCATGCCACAGCTGGCTGAGAAAATCAAACTCTTCTTTGCGTTGGCTCCTCTCTATACCTTTCATCACGTCAAAGGCCCTGTGTTAAAGATAGCGTTCTTACCAGACGTGGTGCTGAAGGTACGTGAGGTGTTCGTGTGCTATTACTACCGAAAACCAGGAGCTTTTGGCAACTTGCGTCCCCCACCTTGCCGCCGTGCACTGAGCCCATGCCTGTGGCAGATGTTGGAGACGTGTGGGGAGATGAGTGATCTGAAGATCCCAAACAGCAGGGACGTCCCTCTCCATTGAGGGACCCAGTTGAGCACAACCAGATTTCACCGTTTAAAGTATCCATCATTCCTGTTTATGTTTTTGCTTATTGACCTCACCACACCCCAGCCCGTAGCCCAGGAGGTGCTCAGAGCAGCCCCACACCACCTCCCTTCCACCCTTTGCTCCAGCGGCTGGAGAAGGGCTGGAAGGGGAGCTGGCACTCTCCCTGGACGCGCCTCCACCTGAGGAGCATCTGTCAATGGAGGTGGCAGATGAGTGGTATGCGTCTGGGCATCCTGGGCTGAGCTTTGGAAGCTGGTACCTTAGAGATGATGCACCAGGATGACGGGGATGACATCATGGCGTGGAAAGGATGGTGATGGTTTCATGCTGCTCTGAGAGTTGGGTGTGACCACGGGTCAGCCTCCTCAAGAGGCTGGCTAGCCCAAATGTGTCAACAGTCATATTGAGGAGTTGCCTGTCAGTGCTGTCTGGAGACAAGCGGTTCTCGTGGAGACGGGACGTGTGTTGCAGGACCTGTCATGACCTGTTTCCTTGCGCTCTTGCAGGCAATATTTGGAACAAAACAGCTGACTCTGGTGGGGAGGAAGGAGAGAGCCACCCTTGCAAAGACATGCAGCAACCTGCTAACAGCTGAAGTCTGTGAAAATGAGATCTTCCTTATTGGCGGGTACAACAGGAACTTGAACGTGGTGGGTGCATCAGCCTCTCTAGGTCACAGCCATCTCCAGTTTTCCTAGACACCTGGAGATAGTTGATGAAAAACAAAAATGAGTATAAAAAACCAAAATAAGGTGTGAAAAGCACTGTTCAAGGCAGCGGTTATTTGGAGACTTCTTTCAGTGGTGTTGGTGTGTTAAACCTAATGGAGGCTTCGGTAGGAAAGAATCATGTGCAGACTTGTCTGCAAAGGAAAGGTAACTCCTGCCTCATTTCCTCCTAACCTGCAACAAGTTTACAGAACCGCCCCCCCACCTCAAATTGACTGGACCAGTTGTATTTCCATTTTAAAGCAGTGGTTAACTGGTTTACCTTTAAAAGCTACTCCTAGCTCTGAACAGAATAAAGCTGCTGGAGAATATAAAGTTTATATTGCAGTTATAAGACACAATGATTTTTTTGCCTGGACAGATTTTTATCAATTCCAACTCACTTAGAAAATACTTTCTTTTTCCCGTAGAGCCGACTGGATGTATACCTAGCTCATTTTCCAGACTATACATCAGTAAAAACTCTTCTCCACTGGGGACAGGTAGAGATTCTGATTTTATAATGACTGCAACCAATGCTTTTTGTTTTAATCTGTGAATATGATATTTTAGAATGCTGCTTCACTCACCCTGGAGGAAGGTAAGGAGGTAGAATCAGAGAAAGCCAATAAAAGTTATTTTGAAGTTGCTAAACCAAGGTGCCAAAAAGCCACAGCTGCCAGCTACTGCTTCTGGCTGGCCAGGGCAGAGCCACCCCGGTGCCCACCTCGGTGCCGGGTGAGGAGCCCACGTAGGTGTTTTTTGGCCTCCCTCTCTGCTCTGGCCCACGGGTCGGGCACCAGCAAGTCCCAGCCAGCCAGGGCTGTGCTGGGCAGGGAGCGCTGGCCTGGGCCCTGCTGCTGCCCTTTGCTGGCCACGGGGCTGATCCAGGGCAGCACCGCACGGGGTGCACCCTTTGCCTCTGCCTTTCAGACCGCCAAAACCGGGGAGTTCAAGCGGTTTGACTACGGGGAGAAGAACCAGGAGAAGTACCACCAGGTAAATGGGCACTTGTGGAGGAGGAGCGGAGGATGAGGCTGGCTAGGGCCGGGGTGGGTGGGGGGAGCCTCCTCCAGTGGCCAGGGTGGCCCGAGTCTGCTGGGATGCCAGGGGCAGCACACCCCATCCATTACTGCTATTAGCAACAGATCCCGCAAATAACCGGCGTGTTCCCCCCTCCCAGGCCACCCCCCCCTTGTACAGGATAGAAGACATGACGGTGCCGACGGCCCTGTGGAGCGGCGGGGAGGACTGGCTGAA